GAACCCGGGCCGCACGCATGCCAGGCGAGCGCGCTACTGCTTGAGCCACATCCCCAGCCCTGGACACAACATCTTTATTTTATTTTTATGTGGTGCTGAGGATCAAACCCAGCGCCCCACGCATGCCAGGCGAGCACGTTATCGCTTGAGCCACATCCCCAGCCCTAGAATACTCTTGAATTTAACCCCCAATACTGTAAAAAAGGAAGGAAGGAAGGAAGGAAGAAGGGACAAGTACATTAAAGAAAATGTGTTTCCTTTACCTCAAAATCTGCTCCTGACAAGCAGCAATTCTCTTCATGAATTTGTAAAACATTTGATCTCCGCTTTTAATTTTGGTCTTCTCATATTTTTCATTACCATCACTAAAAAAACTAAAAAGAGAAGCAGAAACCACCTTTGAGTGTGAATATTCAGAGTATTACAGGATTTAAAAGAGAAAACAAGATAATCCTCTTAAAAAAATTGCTGCAGTGATACCCTATAATTTCAGTCTGTTGGAGCGGAGGCAGGAGGATCATAAGTCAGCTCAGGTAACTTGGCAAGACCCTGTCTCAAAAAACTCCAAAAACCTGGTGAATGAAGCTCATTGGTAAGGCACTCTTGGGTCCAATCCCCAATACTCTTCTACACAAGAAATAAAATAAAAGGGATCTGCAGATGTAGCTCAGAGATGGAAAATCCTCCTGGGTTCACTCTTCAGTATGGTTTAAAAATTTTTTTATCAGGGGCTGGAGATACAGTTAGCTCAGTGATGGGGCTATGCTCAGCATGCACAAATCCTGCATTCAATCCCCAATACAGAAAAAAAAAAAAAAAGCACATACATACATAAAATTTAAATATTAAAAATATTTAAAGCCAGGAATGGTGGCACATGCCTATAATCCCAGCCACTCAGAAGACTGAAGCAGGAGGATCACAAATTAGTGAGGTCCTCAGCAATTTAGTGAGAATTTTTTTCAAAATAAAAAGGCCTGGGGACATACCTCAGTATTAAACTACCCCTGGGTTTAATCCTCTGTACCCCTCCCCCTAAAAAAAAAGTAGCTCATTACAGAGCGTCCCTGGGTTCAACCCCCAGTATCAGCTTATAATATACATATGTAGCCTACTGGCTCACCATTCTCCCAAGCCATTTTCAACTCTGGGGTAATCATTTAAAAAGTCCATAAGTAAAACAGACTTGGCAAAGAACTAGGTCAACTCTACAAATATCCCACTTTATATTATTACAATAGCAAAAATGATCCTCCTGCCTCAGCTTCCCAAGTTGCTGGAATTATAGGTGTGCACCACTGCAATTAGCTATTAAAAAAAAAAAAAAAAAGGCTTGCCTCTGCTATGAAAAACATTTAAAAAGCCCAGCATGGTGGCATAAACCTGTAATCCCAGAGGATGTGGAAGCTAAGGCAGGAGGATCCCAAGTTCAAAGTCAGCCTCAGCAACTTAGTGAACCCTAAGCAACTTAGCAAGACTCTGTCTCTAAATAAAATACAAAAAGCGCTGGGGATGTTCTGAGTGGTTAAGCACTTCTGTATTCAATCCCTGGTACCAAAAAAAATTTTTTTTTAAAACAGAAAGGGTGCTGGGGATGTAGTTCAGTGGTAGAGCACTTGCCTAATATGCATGAAGCCCTGGATTTGATCCTCAATACCACAAAAAAGGAAGGAGTAAGATAACACAGGGGAAAAAAAAGTTAAAGAAATAGTAAATGGGGCTGGGGATGTGGCTCAAGCGGTAGCGCGCT